GAGCAACAAGGGGTTGACCCAACGAGGAATCCTTGCCCATCCGAGAAACCCAGTGGTGGGGCCAGGGACCTGGGAGAATCCGGGCGGATAGGGGTTCCTGCAGGATGAAAGAGCAGCCCCTCCCAGGGGAGGGAAGCAGTGTGGGTGGGGGTGTGGCACCCAGAGGTCTCTGCCTGCTTTGTGGCTGTAGGTGTGTGAAGGCAGGGGGCATCTGAGGTAGGTGGGGACTGTGGGGTAGTATTCCCAGGGGACACATCTTGAGCCTTGGCAGGTGGGGGTGCTTCAACTTCTGGGAATGTTCTAGAAGAGCTGTAGGTAGTTTGGGCAATGAGAGACTTGAGGGCACAGAGGGGCAGGGTCAAAGGGCATCAGGGTTGAGAGACCAGGAAGACATTCAGGCCAGCTGTGCAGAGACTACCAAAGAGCAGAGGTCCTGGCACAGGGCAGCTCCAGGCTGGGCCCCCTGCCCCTGCACCATCTAATACCCTGACCCCATTGCTGACCCTACTCCTCAGCCCCCACGCAGAAAGCCAGGGTGTGGGCATAGGAGGGAGAGGATTGGAAGGACCTAGAAAAGATCAGAGGCCATTTCTTGTCCCTTCCCAAGGGGCTCACTCCTTCCCACACCCATGACTCCTGAACTAAGAATCCTGCTGTGAAAAGCCAGACCAGGAGCATGGCGGGCATCCTCCCAGACCTTTGCCACCTAACACCTGAAGGCTTGTTAGGAAGTACTGTCCCAGGCCCCCTCAGACCTGCTGGGCTGGGCTCTGCTTTCTTAGCAGGATGCCCAGGAGGACACGCATGTTTGAGAGGTGTGGGGTGGACCCTGCTGACCCCCCCCCCCACTCCTCTACTGAGGCAAGCGCCTTAGCTGTGCTCATCAGCAGCTCTTCCTGGAGGTCCTGCCCCAGAGGGACCTGGGAGATGTCTGGGGACATGTGTAGTTTTCATGACTGGGGATGCTCCTGGCACCAAGTGGGTGGCCTGGGGTGCTGTTTACCCTCCACAGGTGGTTCCTCCATAAAGAACATTATGACCCCTAACTGTCCACCGTTTTCCTTTTAATATTGACTTCCTCTCCACCAACCAGATCTGAAATAGCATGGCTGACATGTACACATAAGGAACTATTTGATATTGAAATTGGGACTCAAAAGAACTGTTGGCCCAGAAAGGAACTCACTACAGACTGATTCATTTGCCTCTCAGCATTATGGCTTGTCGCAGTTTAGGTTCTTACAAGGGTATTTCTTGGATCACATGATCTCACACACCTAGAGGAAATGATGAACAACATAAACTGAAGAACAAAAACAGACTCAAAGAAAGAGAAGCAGCGATCAGACTCTCAAACCTCAGAGGGAAAGTAGGGGAGGGTGGAGGTAAGGGGAAGAGATCAACCAAAGGACTTGTGTGCATGCATATGGGTCTGGACATGGACAACAGGGGGGTGAGGGCATATGTAGGGAGGGGTTTGGGATGGGAATGGGGGGGGGGGACAATTATGTGATACTATAATCAATAAAAAAAATAATATTGACTTATTCAAGCTCATGTAAGCATTTTGAGAAACTCTTCTGGAAGATGAACCCTGGGGCAGGTGAATGAGGAAACAGGTTCAGGGAGCCAAGCGACTTCCGGGAAGCCTCCCAGCCCCTGGCTCCCACCCCAGGCTCTGCCCCCAGCCCCGCTGCTGCTGCCTCAGTAACAGCAGCCCACGCCACGGGCCTCCTGCAACGACGCCCAGCTGACCAGGCTTCCTCTGGCTAATAACAAGTCAGAAAATTGGCCTCTTGGGTTCCAAGCAGACAGCCCTGGACGTTTTCTCTGCCGTGACCTATTCCCTGATACAGCTGAGTTGTATCAGCCGGTCAGGGAGTAAACTCCAGAAATGAGTATCACTGAGGAGGCGGAATGCTGATTTACATTCCTGGAGGTCACTCTCAAGCTACACTGGGACCCTCCCCGCCCCCGCCCCCAGTTTGTTTTGTGTGTTCAGTAAGAGTGTGGGAAATTCATCTTGGGCTCACGGGAGGGCTGGTGGGTTTTAGTTCTCATTCTTTTAGAATAAGATATGTTTTTATTGAATTTGAGAGGAAGGGAGAGAGAAAGATAAACATCAGTGATGAGAATCATTGATTGGCTGCCTCCTGCACACCCCACACTGGGGATCGAGCCTACAACCTGCCCCACCCGACCAGAAATGGAATCATGTCCTCCTGTTCATAGGTGGACGTTCAATCATTGGGCCACACTGGTCGGGCTATTTTTATTCTTTTTAATGACTCTCCAGCATATCAGAGGCTCACAGGGCTTCGAGCATCCTGGTTGGGTCTCCATGGAGACTGAACCTGTCTTGGCCCAGCTCCACCAGCCCAGCCTGGGGCTGCAAGCTGAGAATCAGGGACCAGGAGTGGCTCTACTCCTCACCTAACCTTGGCATCCAGCTCCCATCTGGGATGGGCAGGTGGCTGCCTGTAACAGTCATGACAGCCATTTATTGAGCACTAAGGATGTCCTAGGTCTATGCTAAGCCTCACCTATGAATTCATCAAATCCACCCTGAAGCCAAGGGCTACATCCTATTCACTCTCTAGTCTCATTTGGCAAATAAGAAAACCAAGGCTTGGCTGCCTAGAGTGTGGGAAAGACAGTGTAGGCTGGTGGGAAGCGTGTTGTGCTCTGGGGTCAGGCTGGCTAGGTTCAAATCCTAGAACTCTCACTGTGTAACCTTGCAAAAGTGACTTGGGCCTTAGTTTGCCTCTCTGTAATATGGGTATAGAACAGTATTTACCTCTTAATGGTTGCCATGAGGAATGGGCAGGGTGAGCTCACCTGAGGAGCAAAGTTTAAGGGGGCACCAAAAACATAGTCATCATGGGAAAGGATATTTAATTTAATTTATTTATATATAGTATTATTTTTAAAATCTTCACCCAAGCATATTTTTTCCCATTGATTTTTAGAGAGAGTAGAAGGGAGAGAGGAGGGGGGAGAGAGAAAGATAGAAACATTGATGTGGAAGAGACACATTAATTGGTTTGTCTTCCACATGTGCCCGGGACAGGGATCAAACCTGAGCTCCTTCGGTCCCCAGGCCAACACTCTAACCACTGAGCAAACAGTCCAGGGCAAGATAAAGAATATTTCAATGCAGTTTTTAAAAATATATATATTTTTATTGATTTCAGAGAGGAAAGGAGAGGGAGAGATAGAAACATCAATGATGAGAGAGAATTCTTGGTTGGCTGCCACCTGAATTTCCCCCTCCCATTGAGGGTTGAACCCACAACTCAAGCATGTGCCTTGATAGGGAACTGAACCATGACCTCCTGGTTCATAGGTTGATGCTCAATTACTGAGCTATGCTGGCTAGGCTAATGCAGTATTTTTTTTAAAAAACTAAAATTAATATTCCCCAAGTTCATGATGAATAAAATGTCAACATTTTAAATGGACAGAATCAGTTTTACTGAATTTTCCTTTGGCTCAGCACTGCATTGTTACTGATTTTGTCTTTGTTTTAAAATAAAGAAAAGCAATTAAAATTAAAGTCAGAATTGGTAGTCTGCCCCCCACCACCACCACATAACCTTGCTCAGTTGGCACTTTCCCTGTTAGAGTCTCCTTGAAGTCCCTCAAGCCTGTCAGGATGCTTTCTGCCTCGGGGCCTTTGCACTTGCTGCCCCAGTCTCATCTCAGCTCCCAGTCCAAGCTCTGTTATCAGCCTTCCCTGAATTTGCCTCCTAAAGGCTTCCCTCCACCCATTCGGCTGCTCCTTTCATTGTATTTTTTCATAGTGCAAGCGTATCTTGTTTATTTACTTGTAACCACCCCAGGATTTGTTATGTGGATTGAATGAATTTGTGCATGTCAAGAACTTAGCACAGAGCCAGGTGCCTAGAAAGAGCTCTGCACTTTATCGGTAACATATAAATATACAACATATTATACTTAAATTACATTAAATGGTTATAAATATTATGGAGGGAAAGGGAAGCCTGAGAAATGAGGTGATGGTGGCTGGACAATTTTAGATAGAATGGACAGAGAACGTGTTGAGGGGTTGAAGGAGAAAGCCGTGCACCATTTGGGGGAGGAGGATTCCAGGCGGAGGGCACGGCTTGTGCCACGTCTCTAGGGCAGGGTGGTGACTGATGTGTTGGAAGAAAGGCCAGGAGGTCCCTGTGGCTGGAGCAAGTGAGCAAGGGGAAGAGAGGGAGGAGGTGAGGAAGGGAGAGGTCTGGGGCAGGCTGTGAAGGACATTGGGGGCTGCCCAGAGGACTTTGTCTTAATTTTAGGATATTCTTGGAGAGTTTTAAGCACGGTGTCCATAGAGTTCTTTGCCTGAATGCATCAATATCTTGTGAACTTATTTTGAACACTGTGTGCTCATAGCAAGTGTGACAAAGATGCTACTCCTGGTTGTTGATGTAGCAAACATGATTCCTATTTCTGTTCAGTAAGTTATCAACTTAAAAGTACTGATCACAGTGCCTGTGTTATCAGAAGTTGTTCTTTCTTGTTGTTATTGATGAGTTGTGGTCTCAAAAGTGGCAAGAACAGCCCAGCTAAGGAGAAGCCGGGCTCTACTTTTAGTGATTTTTCCTGTTATCAGTTGAAGGAGCCAGTGACACCTGGAAGTCAGGTCTGTGCTGCTCGAAGCCCCGCCGTCACCCACCCAGAAGGCGGGGTTTGCGGGGGCCCGTGGCCTCAATCACGCAACGGGACTGGGCTCCAGAACATGGGACGTGGATTGAAGGATGAGGAGGGCAGAATGCGCGGGCTGGCTACGCGCGCGCTGGCCTCCAGGGGCCGCTGCGGAGGCGCCCTTTTGTGGTCCTGATGCTGGAGCGAGCGGGCGCGGAGGAGGGAGGAGGGCGCGGGGACCGGGCGGGAGGGAGGCGGGAGGCGGCGTCCGTCGTTGTAGCTGTGAGTCCGCCCGCCGCCCGCCGCCGCCGGCTCGGTCCCGCGCCCGCCGCCCGCCCTCGCCCGTCATGGCCCGCCTCACGGAGAGCGAGGCGCGCCGGCAGCAGCAGCAGCTCCTGCAGCCGCGACACTCGCCGGTGGGCAGCAGCGGGCCCGAGCCCCCCGGGGGGCAGCCCGACGGCATGAAGGACCTGGACGCCATCAAGCTCTTCGTGGGCCAGATCCCACGCAACCTGGACGAGAAGGACCTCAAGCCGCTGTTCGAGCAGTTCGGCCGCATTTATGAGCTCACGGTGCTCAAAGACCCCTACACGGGCATGCACAAAGGTGGGCGCCCCGGCCCCCCCCTCCCTCCCTCCCTCCCTCCACCCTCCGGCATCTCCTCTCCCCCAGCCCCCCTCCCAACCACCTCCCTCCACTTGCCTCTGCCACGGCATCATTTCTCCCCCCTTCCACCCACCCTCTCCTCCTCCCTCTGGGGGTGCAGCTGACAGATCCGATCTGGCCCCCTCCCCTCCTCCGCCCCCTCTCCCTCCCTCTCCACCTTCCGGCATCCTCTCTCTCTCTCTCTCTCTCTCTCTCTCTCTCTCTCTCTCTCTCTCTCTCTCTCTCTCTCCCTTTCTCTACTCTCCCATCTCCCTTTACCTCCCATACTCCACCCCCCAAGCATCTCTCTCTCTCTCTCTCCCCTCCCGTTCCCCCTAACCCCCACCCTTCCTCCCTCCCTCACCCACTCTTTCCTGCCCCTTTGCTGGGGGAGCTGCCTGAATACCACCACCTCTCCCTGCTCCCCCCATTCATTCGGCCTCCCCAGGCCCCGTCGGGGAACTTTGCGCCTCTGGACTCCATTGCTTTGGCCATTTTCACAAAGCCAGGCCGGTGGGGCAGGTCCAGCTGGCCTCGGGACATACGGATGCCCAGGACCCCGGGCTAATCGGTAACTACAAAGAAAGCAAGAGGGGGGGCGGGGGGCGCAGGGAGCCGAGCCAGGCTGAGGGGGGAGCACCAGCCTCCAGCGGCTCACCCTCCCCCCTGCCCACCCTCTCTGTTTGGATCAGCAACCCCCCTCCATCTCTCTGCCCTCCCCCTCCCTGCCTCCACCTTTGGCTCAAGTTAAAACTAGCCGATCCGTTAGCAATGTGTTGAGGTCTGAGGCCAATGATGATGAGTCCGGGCTGTCCATCTGGCAGAGCTCAGATCCTGGGGTGGACAGGGGAGGTGTGGGCGGCCTGCAAATCCAGCGGGGAGGCAGGCTGGGAGGGGGGGGGACTGCCTGCCTCCCTCCTACCTGATTCTCTCTCTGGTGGCATGCTGGGCGCAGGTGCCAGGGACTGTGGCCCTAGCCCTGGACTCTGATCATAAGCACAGTCTCAGGCGGGCGGCGCTGATGGCTCTTCTGTTGGCTGTTGGGGGCTGGGGTCGGAGATGGCAAAGGCTTTGCATGGAACACTGGTGGCAAGATCCTGGAGGGACCTTAGGGGTGAGCCAGCGCCCATGACCTATTTCAGAATCATTTATCTCCATCCTCCCCTCGGTGTTTCAGCATGGCAATCATTAATACATGTTTGTTGAATGAATGAATGAATGAATGAATGAGAGTCTGGTAGGATGGAGTCCAGGCCTGTCATTTTAGCTAGACCTCAGCTGATACCCTACACCCTTAACCCCCCACACCCTTAACCTTTTATTGGATTCTGTCACCACGAAAAGAAGGGCCTGAGAAATCTAACGCCTCCGTGTGGCCTAGGAGGACAGGGGGCTCCCTCTCGCCCACGAATCCAGCTCAGGAACCCACGGCTCCACAGAGGGCTCTGACTTCATTGCTTCGGTCATTTTCTGGCATGTCTGAAGAGCCCATTTCTAGAAAGATTCTGATGGGAATCGGGGTGTGCCCATGTGGCCCCCTAAACGTGGTGCTGGAAGGCTGCTGGCGAGCTCTGGGACAGGGAAACAAATGGGTCGCAGAGGTGCCCCTTCCTCATTTCCAGATCTCCCCTGGAAACCCTCCCCCCAAGCGAGAAGAGCTAGATGAGGGGATGGAGCTGCAGCCCAGGTTCACCTGGGCCAGAGCCTCAGTTTCCCCACTGTTAACAAAGCAGGGCCCCATGAATGTGGGGTTGGTTTTTTTTTTTTTTTTTTCTGGCTGGAGAATGTTGAGAGTGCGGGGGGAGGAGCGTTCAGGGTCTTTCCCATTTCCCATCTTTCCTTGGAGGCTTAAAATTAGGAAGCAGTGTGTCCATGACACTCAGTCCTCATCCTCCTCTTCACAGGGCCCTGGGCCAATCTGAGCCCTGGATGTAGGGCCTCAGGGTAACAAGAGGGTGGGGGGCTTTCTCTCCTCTCTGCCCTCACCCAGCACCCTCAGGTCAAGAACAGATCCCCCTCCTGGTCCCACCTGGTCCTGGGCTGGAGGGGCCTCACCTGTGGGAGGCAAGCTGGAGGTGGGGGTATCCTGAGTGCCAGCAGCTGGGATGGAGGCCTGTGTGGCCTCTGGCCAGTGGCTTCCCCTCTCGGGGCCTCAAGCAAAGGGAAGTGGAATGATGAATGGGATGTGGGGGGAGGGGAAGTCCAGGTACCTCCCAGAGAACACTTAGCTGGTGTCATTTCCGGAGAACCAACTACCATCTAACTCCTCCACGTGGCCTCGGAGTGTGGCAGGTGTGAGGGGTCAGGCCCAGTGGTGGAGAGAAACTCCCCTTTCGCCCAGCCTTCTGTGCCCCTGGATGCTGGGAGAATCCCATGAGGCTGGGCATCAGGTCAGCTGGAAGAGCCAGAGTGACGGCAAGTCAGAACATCCATTGGGGTCACCGTGCCCCCACCCCCCCAGCATTGTCATTATCCTCATGACCATCTCATCCTTGCCGTCCACATTCAGGCTCCTGTTTGATCTCTCACCAGAAGGCTCGCGCTGAGGGGGCTTGTGGGCACCACCATAGTCATATGAGAAGGAAACAGGCTCCCAGGGCCAACTTCTGGGTCCCAAGAACCAACCAGAGCTGCCCTACCCACCTTCTCCCTCCCAGGCCCGGGGAAGCAGAAGTCTATGCTGTGACGAAGGGATGACAGCTTCCTCCAAGATGAGAATGAGGCTCCTGCAAGATGGCATGGGGAGGTGGCTGTGACATCTGACAGCCCCAGCCAGTGGGGGGTCCTGCAGGAACCAAGAGAAAGGCAGGGGGTTCAGCAGAACCCCCGGGCTTTGGGGATTGGACAGGGCTTGGGGGAGAGGGCAGGAAGTGAGGGGGCCTCAGAAAGAGGGCAGGCTGGGTTTTTTAAAGAGAAGTGGAGAGAGAGCTCTCCTCCCTTCCTCCCCTCCCCCCGCACACACATAGACACAGGGAGAGGCAGAGAGGGTGGGAATCAGAGAGAGAGATGGAGAAGGGGGATCAGGAGGTCACAAGGCTGCTTCCTACCCCACCCCCCAGATCTGTACCTCATCCAGAGGAACAGGACCCCCTGTGTCCCCAGCCCAGCCAGGAGCTCAGGCCAGGAACTGAGGGCTGGACTAGGGCTCCCAGTGGCCAGTATCCAGCCATCAGCCCCTTCCAGTAGCCTGATGGTCGACAGCCACCCCCCACCCCTCGCTCTGAGGAGGCTGGGTGCCTGTAGGAGCCCTGAGGTGTCCCTCTTCCTTAATCAGGGCTGAATATTAATGCCCGTCCTGGCGATAGGGTTCGCTGGCCGCTGCCTTGTGACCCCCCATTTATGGTAATCACATATGCATTTGCATGTTAATGACAATATTTATCTTAAAATGGAGGTTGTGAGGGGGGCCGGTGTAGTATGGGGGTTTAGGGGGGCCTGTGGTTTCCATGGGAGCACCAGCTGCTCTGCTCGGTGGCAGGAGGGGAGGCTGGAGCACACTGAGCTCAGAGGCGTGAGATTCCGAGTGTGACGTGCCAGCCCCAGGGAGACAGCGGGCTGGGCTGCTGGCAGGCACTGCCCGGGGAGGGGGACGGAGGGAGGAATCCTTTCCCTGTGGCATCGGAGGGCGCAGTGGCTGGGGGCGGGGGCTGAGCAGAAGCCACCGGGACTGGCCATGTGGCTTTGAGGCAAGTGGGCTGCTCTGTGCCTCTGTTTCCCCAGCTGCCCACTCTTCATTGATTTAACAGGCTTTTATGAGGCCCCTGGGACCTTACAAGGTGACTGTGCCATCTTTTCTGCCCTCCTTCAGGCAGAGGACATAGATGGAGCACCTACTCTGTGCTCCTACTTGAGCACAGCTGGAATTTCACGCGCACAGGAATCTATATGAGAGTGAGCAATACGTGAATCCATTACTACACGTAGGACTATTAAGCACTTGCTGTGTGCCAGGCCTGGTACACAATGTTGGACACAACAGACAGATGCCCCCCGCAGACCCCCCTTGTTGATGTCAAGGCTGTGATGGCAGAAACACACACTGGCAGGGACAACCTAGAGGAGGCTCTGCCCTCGCATGTGTGGGGGGCAAGAGGACTTCCTGGAGGTGGCGGCCAGTGTGGGAGAGCAGTTAAGAGCTTAACAGTAAGATGGGTCGGCTTCTCTGCATCTTCCCGGCTATGTGGGCTCGGGCGAGCACCTTGGTCTCTCCAAGCCCCAGCTTTGTCACCGATGGAACTGAGAGGCCAGAGCTGCCTCCCATCTCAGGGCAGTTGGGGAAGGTGAGGATGGGATGGCAGTTAACGTTTTTGGCACAGAGTTCGTGCTTGGTCAGTGGCAATTGGGCGTATAACGTGATTAAGCCAAGACCTGAAGTGTAAGGAAGATCTGGTGAGGGAGGGAGGTATTCCTGGTGGAGAGAACAGCATGTGCAAAGGCCCAGAGGCGCGCTAATTCTGGTGGCTTCAGGTGGGGAGGATGGAGCTTTTGTCCTGGTGGGAGAGGAGCAAAGGGCCTTTGGAGCCCCAGAGCCCCCTCCTGATGTGGGGCTTACGTAGCAAGTCTCTTCTGAGAAGTTCTGCCATTAGAGTTGGACTCAGGAGTTATCTCGGAAATAGGGTTGAGGGAACTGGGTAGGGAAACAGGAAATCCTGCTGCATGGAAGATGGGCATTATAACTGGGGCTTTGAAGGATTAATAAGAGCTTGTCAAGTGGAGAAAGCATTTCATTTATTTTTTAACAGAAGTATTTAGTGTTCTGGGCCCTATGATGAGTGTGAAATATAGGAGTGAATCAGCTAGATGGATGTTACCATCCTTATGGATATGGGCAGAAGGAACTGGGTTTGGAGGTATGAAGGGGCACAGCTGAAGTTGAGGAGGAGTTAAGTGAGACACAGGAGATGAGGCCAGAGGATCAGCATGGACTGGACCCTGAAGAGCCTTTGATGCTAAACTGAGCT